TGGGATTTATACGTGTGCGTCACCTCGATGCAGACCCTACGCTGTTGCAAGCATTTATATTTGTGTGGTGGTGTGTCTGTGTCACTCTGCAGTTACACCTCCAAAACACTGGTCAGCGTTGGGGTGTCTGTGAAGCACAGGCGTTTCTAGCCCATTTTTGGGGGTGCTGAAGCACCCCTAAATTGAATCCCAGCACCCCTAAAATTTGAGAGATTTTTTTTTTTTATTTATTTATTTATTTTTTTTACTGTATGTCCCTTTTTAACAAGCTAGAAAGGTGTCAAAACCATACAGTACTTGGTTGCAATGCGCTGCCTTCCAGAGTGAGTGATATGCTGATATGCAGTAGTGGTGTAAGTACCTGGCTCAAACCAGGATATGTGGCACATTTCTTAACTTCTACCACTCAATACCAACACATTATCATTACCAGTCATTTAATCGTAGGTTACTGTTTATGTTGTTAGGTAGGAGTTAGCTGACGTTTTTTCTCGCTGGGAAACGTTACAGGTGGTCAGTACCACTGTCCTCTGTTTGAATTGGAATGAGAGAAGCTAGCTGTTGTGTCATGTGCATGTGTTAATATTAAGCCAAGGTGCTACTGACTAGCTAACTGAGTGGATGCCCATTAACATTATAACTTCTATTGTGTGCATTTATTATTATTATTTTGTAGATTTCAGGCACTTTTATTTTTTTGAAGTGTATTTTTATTTCTGTATTTGTATTATATAATACAGACAAACATTGAAAAAGTCAATTACTGTTAATATGTTAATGTTACATGTTGTGCATTTCATTTCAAATAAAACTCCAAAAAATAAGCCCAAGGTCCATTTTTGGTATTTTTGGTATTCTTTTTTTGGGCTGGTTTTGGGCTGGTTTACTCCAGAAACATACATACTGTTTATGTGTATGTTGAGGAGCTGCTGTATCAAAATGAGTTATCCTCCCCCAGAAATTAGGGTTACGATATGTTTCTTTTATGATTCCAATCCATTCCTCTTTTGCTGTGGCTCAGCATTTAAATAACCTTTATCAGATTTGATGGTTTAGTCACAGACTTTCCCAAAAAGTGTTGTGCTTTACTTTCACAAATGTGGGAATGAAATTGAGTTAAAATGTACAAAAAAGTGAAATTTATCTTGCCTGGCCAGGCAGCTCTCTGGGTGCTCAGCACCCCTAAACCTCTGATCCTAGAATCGCCCCTGCTGTGAAGTGCTGTAAAGTTTAGTTGATTCAAAACACACATTAAAAACACATTAAATATGAGTTAATAGAGACAATTTCAGACACAGTTACACAAATTAGCCTGACTATAACTCGCAGCATTCACAGACAACACATTTTCCCCACAAATACAACATGCTAACATTATTAGCACAAGCTTATGGCATTTTACATTGTATAAATTAGCCTAGCAGCTAGCAGAGATTTCCTCTGCTCATATGAAGCCAGGATAAATCACACACAAGACCTAAAATGCTATTTTGCGGAGGCTTTATTATCTTCACAATTTATTGTGAAACACCACTGTACAATGAGACAGCAGCACGCACTGCAGGCTCCACTCATTACTGCAGAGCTGTTGTATTAGACTATATTAGTTTTGGTTTGTTGGACCTAATGAAGTGGTCACTAAGTGTAGCTGCACTGTTTATTTTCTAAGGTTGCAGGGTGAGGTTGGTGTTAGTTGATCAATTGAGAAAAAGGGAGTTTCATGACTTCAGCACTTCACCCACAGGGTGTGATGCCCCTTGAGGCTCTTCACTGACTCAGATAAGTGGTGCTTTTCCACCACACAGCCAGAGGGCAACGTACAGCACTTGACACTGAACTGGCGTCAGTGTTTTTTCAGCGGTTGGTGTCCATAGCAACCAGCTGTAAACACAAGGCAAGTAGAGACGAGAGCACTTCACGGCTTTGCAGAAAAAAAAAATTCTCGAGGATGTAAAGTGGAAGTTCCAGTATTTCCCGTGTGGGGTAAATATCTGACCATGTAAGGCTGCACACGAGCACGCCATCTTAGCAACAGCAGAAAAAACACAGAACTGCAAGAACAGTTTATCCCAGAACGCCTCATCGTGATACTTGGCACAGATGAAAGAATGTTTGGAATTCAAACGCGACACACAGGAGACGGCGTGCCAGTGTGACACACTCAGACAGAGATACAGTAGGCTGTATCAGCTGACGTCATATGACATCACAGCCCTGCTGGTGCGTCGCCCCACAGAGGTGTGAACGCTTGGATACCGTTGCTATGTTTTCGCCGAGCCTTTCACAGTGTAAACAGAGGTGATCCTGGGAGTTTTATCTTAAATGTCAGGGGAGCACAGACAGGTAGCTCTGTCACGCACTGCACCACCGAGTTGTGTAACAGAGAGGAATTTCCTCTTTATGACTGCTCAAAGGAACAAAGGGGCAAATATTGCAAAAGATAAAAGACCACAAGTTAAGTCAAGAGAGGAAAATGTTCAAAATTTCTCCCAAAAGTCAAAGAAGAGTTGTGTATTTCCTGCATGATTAATAAACACAGTGTTTTCCTGGATCAGTTTGTGCAGGATTTCACCTGCAGGGGTGTGTGAGGTTAGACGGGTAAGTCCAGAACTTCCTATTGTGGAACAGGCAGTGCTGGTTTCATCAGGGAGTCTCCACCAGGAAACTTTAGAATCTTCTTTCTTCCTCTGCGCTGCGTAAACTCACTTTGTACTGTAACTATGTTCAGACACAAGTGTGGAAATCCTGCCACCTTCCTCTGTCTGACCCTTCAGTGTGCAGAGTGTCAGTTTTTTCTGTTTTCACTCATGCAAAATCTAAAGGGCGTAAGTTTTGTTTTAACTCTGGGGATTTGGGGGCTCCTACACTAGAACATTTTGAACACTTTAATATCCAGTGTGTAGGATTTAGAAGAAGAAGGTATACTTCATTAATCCCAGAGGGGGAAATACAATTTTTTCCACTCTGTTGTCACACACCCACACACACCCACACACACACACACATTTGCACAAACAGGACCTATATATGCATTACGGGGAGTGATGCCAGGCTGCCTTGGACAGTTGCCCCAAGCAGTTGGGGGTTCAGTGCCTTGCACAAGGGCATCTTGGCAGGTTTATATCTACATACGGAGCGGGTCCTCATCTACGGAGATTGTCATGTTGCACTGCCATGTTTCTACAGTAGCCAAGAACAGGCAAATCAAACACTATCTCTAAATAGGGCCAGTTGCAAGTTTGCGTTAGCCTCCATAGGTAGCAGCCCTGCAGGATGAGCAGTATTGGAAAAACTGATTCTTTTTTTTATGTGAAACTGCTTTATTTGGTGTTTTTGTCAGTTTAAATCAGCTGGTCTGTTTGTTTTGGAGAGGAAGAGACCTCTGTGGATAAAAAAACCCCTCCTGAACAATGAACGCTAGAGGAATCCTAACCATGAGAGGTTGTAATCTGCAGTCCTCCTCTGCGTCAGCTCTATGCAGACCATACGCCATAGCCTACGCACGTGGCCTTCGCAATTGTGAGCATTTATACTTGTGTGATGGTGTGTCTGTGTCACTGTTACACACCCAAAACACACATTAAACACACATTAAACATGGCTTAATAGAGACACTTTCAAACACAAGTACACAAATCAGCTTCACTATAACTCGCAGCATTCACAGACAAACACTTGTCTTTATCTGGACACATTTTCCCCACAAGTACAACATGCTAATGTTATTAGCACAAGTCTATGGCAATTTACATTGTATAAATTAGCCTTGCAGCTAGCAATTTATTGTTTCTTATCTGTTTGTTTCCACTGCGGGAAATGGTTTCAGCTTACAGAAACAGACAGGAGGTCTGCGTCGCTGTGATGTGGAGTTACATTTCTGGGGAGGTGCACGTCAGGCTACGGCGTAGGAATGGTGTCGATTTGATGCAAAAGTATAAATCTCAAATTATATGCCACTAAATCCCCCTACATCTGACACACTGCTCCTTTAATTGACTCAGTTCTGGTGAATTTTCTGCAGCAGTTTATGAGGTAAATGTCTTTAATTTAGTCAAAATAAAAGATACTTTAATGTTTTTAATCAGGGGACAAATTTACATGTTTTAAATAGTGAGCAGCCCCCTGTGCCCACCTGAAATCTGCACCCATGCAAATTCCACTAATATGCAGATCACACAAACTTTTTTATTTTATAACAGAATCTGATTAGTGTTAGATTGTGACAGCAAATGCAAATGATTAACAGAATTTTAAATAAATATTTTAAAAACACACAAATGCAGAGACATGCATGTATATAAATGTAGTTTTAGCCTGACTTAAGTTTTATTTTTGCCAAAACAGAAGCTCAAATTAAGTGAAATGTTGCAAGTTTTTTTTTTGTCAGCAATAAAAAGCACTGATCATTTCAGTTAAATAATACATATTCCTCACATTTGGTGTTATCTCCATGTGTAGGAGACGATGAAGCTAAAATATATAAATGGCTCTGACAGCCACAGAGCTCAGAGCAGTTACATGATAACACAGTGTGGTTATCAGTGTAGGTGTGGACCATTTTCAGTGTACATGCTGAACTTTTGGAAACTTGTCTTTTTTATTTTTACATAGATTTAAATTTAGCCAATTAGGCCCAAATGGAAAATATCTCTAAAAAGTAAAGCTACTTTGGTTAGCCAGTTGAGATAATTTCCCCAGTGCAGAAGGGAATTCTTGCAGCTCTGTCAGGGGCTGTCTCCTTTCATTCATGCCCATCATGTCTCCATTGACACAGATGGAGTCCTGTCCCCTGGAACCGACATCACAGGTGAAAATAGGTGCCTAATAGGAAACTACAAGTTTTCATTCTGAGTGTCTTTGGGGGGGATTTTTCTCACAAAAGCACAGGCTCGGTGTGATTTCCCTTTGCATTTTCTAAGATAAGTCAGCTGGAAATCCCCACCGAGGCTCCGCCCGCCGAGCGCACAAAAAGGAGTGCGCCTCCCTCAGCTGCGCTACTCTGCCCTGACCTTTGAGAGAGACGGAGCTCGCAGTGACAACAGACATGGACGTGCACAGAGTGTCTAACCACAACGTAATGGATTATAACTTCGACAACATGGAGCCCAAACACGGGAAAATGTTGCCGTGCCAGGAGGACCGTTTTGACAGCGGCCTGGATTCTCTGAAGGAGGACGAGCTGGTGAGCGAGATCGAGGAAATGACTTTGAACATAAGCGAGGAGCTCACACAGGAATACGAGCCCTGGAGATCTGCAGTGACTGAAGACGGTGACACGTAAGTTGAATTTTTGGACATTATTAACAAAGCAGTGGCGCATTTGCACATTTCTTCCTGGTGCGTAAAATGAAGTTGGAGTTTTGCGCTCAGACACAGAGTCTAGACTTTGAATCAGATGCAATGAAACGATGTGAAAAGCTGCAAAATGACGCATGAAAATTGTCGAAAGTTGCACGAAAACAAGAGGCCTTTTAAAGTGTGTGTGTGCAGCAAAGCGCGTGCTCAGTGCCGTGCGTGTGTACTTTGGCTGAGAGCGCAGTCTGGGCGGTGCTAAAGTCCGCTCTGCGCGTTCAGGAAAGTCCCTGGCCCGATGCCAGGAACTGATAAAGCATCAGATGTGTCAAGCCACAACTGGTGGAAATAACCCGACAAAACTCCATTCTTGCGAAACGCTCCACTGCTCAGGCTTTGTTCTTTCTCATCTGGCTGGAACCACTTCCTCCATGCGTAGTTTTTTTTTTCTTTTTTTGAAAAGCACTATTTTAACTAACCTCTGTTTCTTTTTCTCTCCCCCTCCTCTGCACACAGGCTTCTCCACTTGGCCATCATTCATGAAGCCACTGATCATGCCTTCCAGATGATCAAACTGTCTCACAATCACCCCTTCCTCAACGTACAGAACCACCAGAGACAGGTGAGACCCGAACTCAAACACAAACCTCATCTCACACACATATATTCCTCTTAAATCCAAGATAATAATCCTATAAATGTGTCCTCTCCAGACTGCCCTCCACCTCGCAGTGATCACAGAGCAGCCCCAGTTAGTAGAGAGACTCCTGAAGGCCGGCTGTGACCCACGTCTTGCCGACGACAGCGGCAACACGGCTCTCCACATCGCCTGCAAGAGGGGCTCCCTCGCCTGCTTTGGCGTCATCACGCAGAACAGCCAGCAGCACATCACCTCCATGGTGTCCTTCCCCAACTACAGCGGTGAGTTACAACAACCTTAAACCCTCAAACACACTTTATGTTTCACTGAAGCAGCTCTTGAATCTGTTTGACTGATCTGTTCCTCATTTCCTCCTCACAGGACACAACTGTCTCCACTTGGCGTCCATTAATGGCTACATCTCATTGGTTGAAAGCCTTGTTCGCCTCGGTGCTGACATCAATGCACAGGTAGGTGTCGTTACCTCAAAAGGTAGACAGTTTTGGAAAGTGATGTCTCAAAGAAAACTTCAGGAGCTTAACAGTTTCTTTACCTTGTTGCCCACAGGAGCAGTGCAGCGGTCGGACGTCACTCCATCTGGCCGTAGACCTCCAGAACCCCAAGCTGGTGCGTCGCCTCTTAGAACTTGGCGCCGACGTCAACTGCTTGAACTATGGCGGCTTCACGCCGTACCACCTCACCTACGGGCGCCAGAACGAAGAGATCCGCTGCCAGCTGTACGAGAAGACGGCGCAGGAGCTGCGGGAGCTGCCCGACAGCGAATCAGACGAGAGCGACATGGAGGATCTGGACTCATCGGGAGACGAAGTAAGTTATTGAATCAGTCGATATCACCTGAAAATCTCATCTCATCTTAAAGTACAGCGTCCTAACGTCCTGTCTCCTCTGTCCTACAGCTGTACGACGACATAAAGTTCGGAAAGTAAACAGAAGCGTCCACTCTGATTGGTGTGAATGAAAGCTGCTACTGGGTCGCCCAGCCTCGGCCCCCCCCATAGTGAGGGACACGTCAGTCCCCCGTCCAGGTCCAAGTCCACAGGTGCTGGTCCGAAAACATGAATGAAGATGGCGTCCGGTCGGGTCGAGCCCGGTCCAGATCACAGAAAGATCTGCACCAAACACCAAAGAAGACCACGACCTCCACACATATAGTCCTTCTATATACTGTATAAATATATATTGATGTGTATATATGAGACAAAGACATGTAATATATTGTAAATACAGAGATATTATTTTTGTACCTGTACATACGCTGTGTGAATTTAAACACTATTAACAAAAAAACCTTGAGAATAAAAAGAAGTTTATGAACATAAAGAGCTTTGTGTGTTTGAGTTTCTTTTCCACGTTGTAAAACAATCGTCAGTTCTCACTTTACACAAAGTGACGAGGAGTGGAGTCATAGCCCAGACTTGTGAATGACACACAGACAAAAATGATCACACTTGGAACAGTCTGGGATTTCCTTGTCGGGGCGAGGTCACCAGGTCTCTGAGTCACCGCGTTGAAAGTCCCCGGGCGGCATAAGGGGAACATAATGTACTTAAATATTCCACCCTACTCTAGAAGCTGGGGACTAGAAATACCGAGGAATTTTTTTTCGTTTGAGGAGGAAATGTCTTTAAGTGAGACGGGAAATGAGCCACAGACAGATGAGACCAACTGCTGTGTCACAGTGACCAGGAAACGTTGGAGTTTGGGAAGTACAAGATTTCCCTGTCAGCTGATGAGGATTTTTTTTTCCCAGTATGAAGTCAACCTGGAGCCAGCACGTATCTGCTGCTCAGAAAATGTTCCTGATTAGGTTTAATGGCAGCGTGTAGCCTGTAATTGTCGTCATGACTGTAAACATTAACCGGTTTGTAGATCTGTACAGACTGAGGGGTTTTCCAAGGACAAGGTTGTTATCATACACCAGCAGACTTTCAAGACTAAAGTCTGACACCTTCTCACGTCTATAGACGCTTTGAGCTTTAAGTCACAAGATGTTGCACTGACTGAGGCTCACTATGTACATGATTTAAATTTAATTCCTTTTAAATCAAAATACCTTTTCCCATCCTGCTCCTGGTGGAAAATGCTACACCAAACTCCCCTTACAAAATATGACATTTTAACAATTCCTTACATGTCTGCAGAAACACATAACTCTACAAACACCAGATAAAAGGCGTCATATGTCGACGGTATTCAGATCAATTCGGCATCAATATAATCCATAAATATAAACTCTATTTGTTTAAAAACTGGGTGGTGAAGTGTTTCAAAAACAAAGATTTCTCACTACAAAAAGTGCTGGTAACACATTGAATTAAGCCAAAAAATGCAAAATGTAAAGTTTGTACACAAATACAGTTTATCTTTATAGATTATATTGATGCCAGATTGATCAGAACACAGGAAGCTAGTCGACAGTAATCACTGAGAAACTGGTGCTTTCCGCACCTCAAAATTTCACACAATCTTAAAGTATGGCTTCCTAACGTCTTTTATTTTCTGCCCTACAGCTGTACAATGACGTAAAGTGGTGTTTAATTTGTATCTGATCCACCAACCGGCTCTTATCTTATGGTGGAAAATTTACACCAAACTCCCTTTAAGAAATATGACATTTTAACAATTCCTTACATGTCTGCAGAAACACATAACTCTACAAACACCAGATAAAAGGCGTCACGTGTCGACAGTGTTCTGGTCAATTCACCATCAATTTAATCCATAAAAATAAGCTGTATTTGTGTAAAAACTTGGTGGTGAGCTGTATCAAAAATGAAGTTTTCTACCAAAAATAAGCCGATACACACTGGTATAAGCAAAAAAAAAAATGCAAAATGTAAAGTTTGTTTCAAATACAGTTTATCTTTATGGATTATATTGATGCAAAATTGACAGGAACACTATCGACATATGACGCCTTTTATCTGGGTGTTTCTGGAGTTATGTGTTTTTGCAGACATGTAAGGAATTGTTAAAATGTCGTATTTCTTAAAGGGAGTTTGGTGTAAATTTTCCACCATAAGATAAGAGCCGGTTGGTGGATCAGATACAAATTAAACACCACTTTACGTCATCGTACAGCTGTAGGGCAGAAAATAAAAGACGTTAGGAAGCCATACTTTAAGATTGTGTGAAATTTTGAGGTGCGGAAAGCACCAGTTTCTCAGTGATTACTGTCGACTAGCTTCCTGTTTGGTGCTGCAGAGAGCACAGCTATTGGTTGTTGACAGTGTTTACGCCATTGAACTTCAGTGTTTATATCAGACAGGACTCAGAATGTGCAATAATATTTAAAGTTTGATTTTATCGAACATTAAGATGAGAAAAAGGGCAGCAGTTTTATAACCACCTCACACCAAAGGAGCCAGGTCACAGGAGCACTGACATTGAGGACGATGGAAATTACATAAGAGACAAAGACTTTAAATAACTGAAGTACAATCCTGAGTATTATCGCTGCATTTGAGATGAACTAGAATTACCACCTCATGGTTGTTTGCCGCCACGATCCAGTCAAGTTGCACTGACAGCTTCACACAGATCCTCCCCCAGCAGTACAGAAGATCTATACAATCAGCAGAGTTTCAGGTTTCAGTATCTGACCAAATGTCTCCCCTTCTCTTCCCGAGATATGACCTTAAAACATGATGATGTCACAGTCAAGCTGACCTTTGACCTTTTGATAAAAATGACATAACTTCTTTTTTTGTGTGTGAAGTTTTGTCACTCATGAATGAATTCTTGAGTTATGGCAAAAAACATGTTTTGTGAGGTCACAGTGACCTTTGACCACCATATTCTGATCAGTTCAACTAGACGTTTGTGCCAAATTAAAAAAAAAAAAAACTTTCTCAAGGTGTTCCTGAGATATTAACATTCATGAGAATGAGACAGATGAGGTTACAGTGACTTTGACCTTTGATCACTAAAATTTAATTTGCTCATCCCTGAGTCGTTTGTGCCAAACAATTCCTTCAAGGTTTTTCTGAGACATGGCATTCATGAGAATGAGATGCATGCAAGGCCACAGAGACCTTTGATCACTAAATCCAACCAGATCATCTCTGAGTCCAAGTGGACGTTTGTGCCCATTTGAAAAAAATTCCTCAAGGTGTTCTTGAGATATCACGTTAATGAGAATGAGACAGACGAGGTAAAGGTGACCTTGAGCTTTCACCTGTGATCACTAAAATCTAAAATATTTGTCCCTTAGTCCAGCTGGACGTTTGTGACAAATTTGAAAAGAAAAATCCTCAAGGTGTTCCTGAGATATCACGTTCACAAGAATGAAACACACGAGGTAACAGTGACCTTAACCTTTCACCTGTGACCACCACTATTTAATCAGTTCATTCGTCAGACAAAGTGAAAATTTGTGCCAAAATTTAAAAAAAAATTCCATCAAGGCACTCTTAAGCTGTTGTGATACCAAAATGAGATGGACAAGGTCACAGTGACTTTGACCTTTGATCATTAAAATCTAACTCACTCCACCTTTAATCCAACTGGACGTTTGTGCCAAATTTGAAAACAAATTCTTGTGCTTCCGCATTCATGAGAATGCATGCAAGGCCAGTGACCTCTGACCTTTGATCACCAAATCTAACCAGTTCATCATGTTTACAAGAATGGGACAGATGTACAGACATATGTACAACCTGTAAACACAAAGTCTCCAGCCGTGGCTATCACCAGAGCAGAGGCATGCAGAGCACATTTATGTGTATTTCTGATTCTGTTACAGCTCCATAAAGACACAGAGAGACTTTAGGGGAAGAAGACTGATGGGAACTGTTCTGAGGACTAATCATCACTTCTGATCATATGTTGATGACGAAGCTTTTAAATGTTTCGCCGGACCAAACGCTGACACACAGCTGATGTATCGTTATGTATCGGGGGAACAAATTTTCCCTTTGCAAAGAGAAACTACTTGTATGATGTATCCGGTGAGTCGAAGCAATCTATTTCTGACATGCTACATGTGCATCTAAAAAAAAAGAAGCTTAAATATTGAGAGAATGAGGTCAAATCAGGCGTACATCAGCGTGTAGTAGAATCACCTCTGTGCAGCACCGCGGTGTGTCATGTGATTTAGTGCATTCAGAGCCACAACAGGAAGCTCAGAGGTAGAGCTCTGCACACGCTCACGTTCCCATAAACGTTTCCACTGCTGCTAAACTCCACTGACAGAAAACAACTTTCTGTTTACATGACTGAGAGGTTAGAAGCTTCAGTGCATATTTATAGAGTGTAAATTAAACACACACACACAGCTCCACGTGCAGGTTAAATCTTCAGGATCAATAAGAAACAGGTACAACAGCGATGGTTATTTTACTCGAAAAACTTTTTTTTTTTATTGTTGAATGAAACAGTGGGGTAAATGTACAGCAAACAAAGATAACACCAGCCTCCATCTGGGAACTGCAGATCCCATCATGCTCTAACTTAATCCAACAGGTGACGCCTCTCTGCTCGCTCAGTCCCGCTCTGCCAGGGACACCAGGTGGACGTCCACTTCGCTCTCTGTCAGCATCCTGCAGACAGAAAACAGAAAGGTGGACGATGACTCTCATGTCCAAAAAAAAAAAAATCTACTTTAACCTCCAACTACAGCAGTTCAACGATAACCAAGTTCCCTGACTGCCAGAAAATTAAAGATACTATTTTTAAAGCAGAACATGAGCTGGTTCTAGAATGATACATTTGAGTATTTGATGCTTTTCTCTGCCATATATATATATATAAAAAACAACATTTTGAGTACATGTCTTTATGCCTCAGGTCCTCTAGTTTCATATGATACATGTGCTTTAGCTGTAGCTTCAAAACTGAGCCTTTAGTACATCTGGACGTTTGCGCTAAATTTGAAAAAATTCCCTCTGGGTGTTTTTGATGGCCAGGGTCAGCTTTACTCTTTGACAGTGGGCCTGATGCTGCCTCAACAAACCGACTATGACTTTTGTGAGTGTGTAGAAAACATTGGTGGCCAGATATTTACACGCATTTGTGGAGATACGTAGCGTTTACACCGATGAGAAACTACAAGCACACAAGTCACTACATGCTGACAAGTACATTATCTGTGGTCACGTACACAACTTCAAATACACAAAACAAAATCACCAGCTCATGATGAAAAATGGAAGAAAACACGGACAAATGGAGAAGGAAATCCTCTCCAGCCACAGACAAGGACACAAGACCGCTCTGCATGAGGTCTGGGTCATAATTAATACACCATGCAAACTAATATTATATCTCAACTGTGCCTGCAGGCAGGGTGTGTTGTTGGCCTGCTACAGTAGCTAGCATAG